ACTATGTCTCTCGGCTGGCCTGGGAATGCCTCAGCATTCCCCCGGAGGAGCTGGAGGAAGTGTCTGGAGAGAGGGAAGTCTGGGCATCTTTACTTAGACTGTTGCCCCCGCGACCCGGTCCCGGATAAGCAGAGGAAAATGGATGGATGAAACAAAGCTCCTCAAGCCATCTGTACTGTATGTAATCACTTTTTGAGCATAATCTTCTAAACCTGATACAAGATGCTGAGATCCAGAGAGGACGGACAGAGAAGGTGATGCACATACAGTAAAAGCCTAAGAACATTTGGTTTTAAAAAGGAAATCTGTTCTATACTTGTTATATTTGTTGTTCCACCCTGAAACACTCTGGAAGTCAACTTTTTTTTGTTTGTTTGTTTTGTCTTTACATATTTATTGCTTATTATGTGGATCTGTTCAGCCAGGATTCAATCTTTCAAATGATACCATTCAGAGATAATGCATATTCAACTTAAAAACTGCCTTAAATCAAATTTTTACATATAGTTGAGTACACTGAGTAGATGCCAAATTTTGATTTGTAAAACTTAAGTGCAGAATTTATGCATATAGAGCGAGATCCCATATTAGATATGGCATTATAGCTTGGCAACTTGAAACATCTTCTGAATCTCCTCCATAGCCATGTACGAAATATACAACACTCCTATATCATTATCATGCCTCTAGCCTTCAAGAATTTTAGAAATCCAGAGAAAGTCCAGCTTCCCTTAAACATACACATGGTAAAGATCTGATCTCTTACTAATTAAATCTTCAAAACAAGCAGTTTTAGACAGAGGCTCCCCTCCTGAGACTTGTGCTTCCATTCAGAGCAGCAGTGAGTCACTGCTTTCTTCATGAGTCAACCTTATCATACACTATGTACATCAGCACCCATGTTCAGCATACGTGTATGCATATTGGTTGTATAGGAGTACATATTATAGAGCAGGATAAAACATTCAATGTGTACATGTGCAACTGCCTCTCCGGCTTGGCTACAGTAGTACAAAGTACTCTGCTGTCCTCAGCACAGACACAAGAAGCTTCCTTGCAGGCTAGGACTATACATTCATTCATAAATGCATATTATGTAGAAGCACTGATTTAGGTTGAACCGCT